GCATGTGCTGTAATGGAAAACACATGTGCAGGAGAGAGGACCATTCTTTTGACTGAAGTAATTAAAGAAGGTCTATCTGATGGGGAAAACATTGAATTTAAAGACAGAAGGAAAAAGTCAGGTATGTTGGTGCACACCTGTAATCCCAGCACTCTGGAAAGCTGAGGCAGGAGGATTGCAAGATCAAGCCCACCCTGGCCAATTTAGTAACCGAGGGGGGCCCTGTTTCAAAATTTTATAAAAGTTTGAAAGGGTTGGGGATGTAATTCAGTGCAAAGGCCCTGGGACTGATCCCAGCACCACTTAAAAAAAATTGGCAAGAAGAAGGAGAACTCCTGGGCTTGGTGCCTGGGAATCAGCATGCCTGACGCCCCTTCCTGTAATGGGGAAGGCTGGGTGGGCGGTAATGTGCAGGCCTCAGGGGCCTGCTCTCTAAGACGGCTATCTAATAATGGCTCAGCTCACTGGGAAACGGGCGTAAGTGAATGAGTGCCTGCCTGCACACACACTCGTGCACACCTGCCCGCTTCTCTCTTCGGTGTGCACACACACGCGCGCACACACACACACACACCTGCATATGGATCTTTCTCTGTGCATAATGAGTGCCCTTGGAAAGCTCACTCCTGCTGAGCCTGTTACCCTGACTTGTCATTCTCAGGCACAGAACAGCTCGGGCCCCTGAAACCCACTTACACGCGTGCTTCTGTTTTCTCTCGCATCCTCACACTCCACCCTCTGTCCTTGCTCATCCGCTTTTTTAACCTCAGCTAATGTGCGTATCCACCCCAGGGTGACGGGGCTGCATTTCTCTCTCAGGGGGAAGGAAATCTTGATGCCTAAGTCATTTGAATCTGTGGCACTAAAAGGTCTCCTGACCAGAAGGAACAAGAAAATGTCACTGGCTGATGGGGACGATTTTAATGCAAAATGCCACCTTCTAATGATTGTTACCTTTTGCTGCAGCTGCCAAAAGACACAGCCCTTTTCCAAGGGCCAGACTCTGTCAAACAGTTTTGTACCTCCCTCGGCCTTCCCTCCCCCAGGATCGGTCTCTTAGGACCAAGCTCTGGCTCCTCCGCACCAACCAAAGCTTCCTCCTGAGCGAAGATGAGACAGACCCAAGCAAGCACCTTTCAGGGGGCCTTCACGAGGGCCTCTGCCACTCATCAACCTCCAGCCCCCTGGGCACTTGCGGTTAACCTGTGTTAGGGCCCCACTTACGGCTCCCGTAACTCTGTACCCCCTCTTGTCACCGTATTGCCCTCTGCGTGGGTTCCGCTCCCCCACTTCATCTCTCCTTTCCCAGTGATAGAGGAGGTGGCCCACCTGCGCCCCGCTCTGTCCTCGGAGGATAGCATCAGCGGCCTCATCCGAGGTGCTCCCTGATAACTGCTGAGTGGATGAGGACCGACGGAGAGAGGGAAGAAAGGAACCCCATCCTCCTCAGGAAGGCAAAAGAGAAGAACATTTCTGCTTTTCCTAGATACTCTGGCCCAAAGGCCCCCAATGATGCCCCATTTCTCTCTTCCTGAGCACCCCAGGTGGTCATTCCCACCCTTCAACACCCACCGAGGACCCCCCGGGGAGCTTCAGCACCCCCAGCTGCCCTCAGCTTGCTTCCCCACTCACACGGCCCCCGCCCCACAGACAGCCCACCCAGCGCTAACAGGGCTCCCACCACCCCGTTACTTACACCTCCCCTCGCCTGTGCCTTTGTATCTAGGCTCTCTACCCCGAAACCCCCAGTCCCCATTCTAAGGACACTTCCCAAGGGAGGCAGATTTCCAAACCACCCCCCAAGATTCTCCATCCCTAGATTCAATCAAACACCAGCCTAGAGTCTACTGAAAGGAATCTGACAGGTGTATTTAAAGTCGCAAATCAGTTGATCATAAAAGAAATGATCCAGGTGGGCCTGAGCTATCTATTGAGCCCTTTAAAACCAAAATTTCTCAGCTGGGGTAGAGCTCAGAGGTAAAGCACTTGCCTCACATGTGCAAACCCCTGGGTGGGACCCAGTACCACAGTGATCAATCAGCGCAGTGCTTTTGTGGCTGATCTTAAAGCGAAACCAGAGATTGAATGAATAAGGATTCCACACCTCTTGCTGGCAAGCAGGGAGTGGGGTGCACCTGGTTCTGAGGGTAGCCTCTGGGAACTCCAAGTCACTGCCACCAACAGCCAGCAATCAAGCTGGAACCTCAGCCCGCAACCAGACACCAGGAATGAATTTAGAAAGGGATTTGTTTTCCAGAGCTTGCAAGCAGGAAGTGAGCCCCATGCCTGAGCCCTGCCGTGAAGGTACTCTTCATCCACCATGCCAAACCCCCAATTCCCAGAGCAGGAAGATCGTGAAAGGGTGTTGTGGGTAGTGTGGATACTGTTGTTTTCATTCTTTCTTTTTTAATTGTGGTTAAAAAAAAAAAAAACTAACTAAAATTTATCATCTTAAGCATTTTTAAATGCTTAAGCTCAGCAGCGTCAAATACATTCACGTTGTCACCCATCCATCATCACCACTCATCTCCAGGCTCTTTTTATCTTGCAAAACAAGCTACATTTACCAATTTGTTAAGCAGATATCCTGCGTTGTGATAAAACCCTCAACTCATGTATGTTCACCAAAAAATAGCTACATGGTCAAATACATAAGGAAAATGATTTAGAGCATGTTAGGTATCAAGCTCTGTATTTCTTATATTTGTTCTCATTTAAGCCCCCACTACCTTATTAGGTCAAAATTATGTATTAATGGTGGTGACACATGTCTGTAATTCCAACACTATAGGTGGCTGAGGCAGGAGGATTGTACAGTGAAATATGGGACCCCAAGGTAGGGTGAGAGTAAGAAACAGGCTCTTTTAGAGGGGAGGAAAAGAAACACAGCCTCTGTGAGTAATTAAAGTCCGTGAAGAGATAACCCTGGGCTCACTCTTGAAATTGCTCCCCTCAGAATGCAGGATATTTGAGCATCCTGCTCAAATTCTAAACTGAGTTGTAATTACTGTGAGTGTCACCACTGGATGACACTGGACCCTTAGCAATGAACCTGTTAACCAATGAAGTGCGGCCCCTCTGGGTGGGTGGGGCAGCCCCTACCCCATCAGACAGAAACACTGCCCTCTGCTGTGTTCAGCAGCCACCCGACTCCGGAGCGCCCCCTCTCTGTGTGGTTTTGAACTTCTGCAATAAACTGACTTTCTCTTTGCGCTGTGACTTCCGAGTCCTCCTCCTCCATCTGAGATGAGCCTGGGAAGTGTGAGTGTGGGCTGGTGATCCCCAGATCCACCGATGCAACAGCTGCAAGATTGAGGCCAAGACCGATGTAGCAAGACCACATCTCAAAGCAAAATTTAAAAGGGGAGGGGGCCGTTGGGGACACAGCTCAGGAGCAGCACACTTGCCTAGAATGGGTTCAGTTTCTAGGACCGCAACCAAAAAAGATAATGAAACAGACTCAAGGAGATTAAAAATAACACAGTAACTTGCCTGGGGTCAAGGCAGTGAGCAGCAAAACCCGGTCCTTACCCACCAGACTGAGCTCCACACTGCTCTACTGGAGACCGAGAGAACAAAGCTCAGAGGCCAGCAGGGCTGGAGGGGATGCTGGGGCTCTCTGGAGACCTGGCAGGACCAAGGGAGGATGCAGGGAGGGCGCTGCAGGGAGACCAGACCCTGAAACTCCATCCAACCAGATAGAGAAAAAAGAAAGGAGCCTAAAGGGGGGCTCAGCCCCCCACATCCTCACACTGCAGCACCCCGTTCCCTTCTTCAATCAGTCAACTTCTCGTTTACCTACTTTATATGTTGCCGTTCACTCAATAAGGTCGCATCTTTAAAAGAGGTTCTACTGCTAAAATAGTCTGAAAATCATTGATGGGTTCCAAGTCCTTCTGTTATAAAGGTGGATACCAACTGTAGAGGCTCTGAGAGGTAAGGTCACCTGCCTCCACTCACACGGCCTTCTGTGATCAAGCCAAGAGTAGACCACAGCCTTCTCTCCTATCTCCCTTTGGGTGACTGGGCAGATGACCAAGACCCCTAAGTCCCCTAGGGTCCCGTGCTAGTAGACTTGAAGCTACATGGAAGCCAAGAAGATTGGTGAACAATCTCCCCTCTCCTCCAGAGACTGAAGGCCAGTGTGGAGGTCAACACACTCTGCCCAGGTCCCAGATGTGTTCTTCTTCTGGTTCCCAGTTCCCCACCTAGGCAGGTGCAGGCTGGGCATCCCTGTGAGTTTCCCAGCACTGACAGCTGGGAAGCAGCTTGCCCAGGGCCGTGACTCAGCATTTCCTTCCTGCTCTCCACCGCCAGACCCCCACCCAAAGACGCTGGGAGACCCTCAAGTACAGAGCAGCCCCCAGCAGGGAACGTGGGGGCAAGGTACAGAGCCCGAGAAGTAAGCAGTGTCAGTATGGGAGGAAGTAATTTAATAAGAGCCCGCTTGGCAATTATATCACCCCGAATAATATAATAAACCCTAATTTACTCACATTCATCTCCCAGAGTTTTTTGGGGGGAAACGTAATCTTGCCTGCTCTACAGTGATGGATTAGCGCAATGGAAACTCCACCGGGAAATAAAAAAAATACATCTTGTAGCTTTGACGTGCTATTATTCAGTGTTATCTCATATACCTCATTCCAGGCCCATTACTCATGTTCACTTTTTTCTTTCTGGTGTGTGTTTTTTTTTCTCTCTCTCCCCTTCTTAAAAATCAGAGCCAAAAGCAGGCGCTTGGCATTTCTATGAAATCCACCAGCCAGCGGGACCCAGTGTCAGGATTTCTTAGGCTCAGCAAGGATGGAGGAGAAAGAGGTGACCCTTCAGGAAGACTCCCCAGTGCGGGGTGACGCTGCCAGCAGTGTACAGCGAGGAGGGCCCCCCTACAGCTGTGCCCCCTGCCCCGGAAGGCTGAAGGTCACTGGATTACACTTGTCCCCTGCTGACCACCAGTGCTGACCTCAGAATGGCTGAGGCTGGGCTTGCCTGAGGGCCTGGGGTAGGGAATCCTCCAGAAAGAGGGAGACGTCATTGTGATGAGAAGGGAGCCTAAGAGCCCACAGCCAGGCCTGCAAGGGGGTGGAGAGTTCACAGCAGGGAGCTGTTTTCCAGGTCTCTCTGGGGCCTCACATCCTCCTCCCCTCTCCCATCCTCACTATGGCTTCTCTCTTCTCCCTTTCTCTCTCTTTCTCTCTCTCTCCCTTTCTCTCTCTCTCTTTCTGGACACATCTATCTCTAGTGTGTTACTAGTTCCCCATCACCTGTGTAGCCCACCATCCAACTGACTGTGTCCCAATTTTCTATTTCCAGCCCAACAGGCGATGCAGCCTGGCCCAGGTAGCCATGGAGATGGAGTGAGGAGGTGAGTGGGCTGGAATCCTGTGGAATTTTCATGACAGTCAGGCCCAAGGCCTCAATGGGTATTCCATTCCTCCACACAGAGAAAAGCAGGCAGACACCCTGAGATTTCTGCTATCACTTAGCCTTTCAGGGCTCAGTCTTCTTGTCTGTAAAATGGGGGTGGTGGCAGGAGGAGAAGAGACAAAGAAAGCAGGATGTTTTGTCAGGGGCATCGCTCTGCAAGCATCCCCTGGGGACTTTCAATTTGCTTTAATGGTCAGTTCTGCCGTTGCCTCCCTCTGAGAATCGGACAACCCTCTTCAGTATGAAGCAAGGCCCGGCTCAGAAGGGAGCAGTGGGAGCCTCCTGTGGGGAAGAAAAGAAGCAAGCAGCCCTCCAATCTGCTCTCCCTGGGAGGAAGAAGAAAAGGGAGACTCCATGTGTAATTGCTAATAAGTAGGCATGACCGAGTCTTAACAATAATTAAAGTTACCAACTGAAAACTTGTCCATTTCAGGGTCTAATGGTTTTTCAGCACATTAAACATTAAAGGGGTAATCACCTCGCATGCACCGGTGCCCAGCTACCCTGTGTTCTGCCTGGTGCCGGCAGAGATCTATAGACAAAGCCCCAAGCAGAACCTGGAGCTCCCCCTACCCTGGGATCCAAGGCAAAATAGTCCAACCACCCTGTTACTGCCTGGAGAGCTGGCCTCAGCTAGGTCTGCAGGCTCCTAGGCCAGGAAAGCCCCCTCAGTCCCCTGGTTAGCCCTTCTGTGAGAATTTCCTCCAATAAGGGACTGTTCCCAACACTGCTTTTCTGGTATATCACTTCCCATAGAAACAGAACAGGTTTTGGACATCCACGGCAAACCAAATTCCCTCAGCTTGGTATAGCATGTTAAGTCATTTGCGTGTGTCCTTTTTAAAGCCACATAATTTAAGAGATAAGTTTTGTTGCCCTTCTTTTGCAGCTGAGAACTGATAGTCTCAGAGAAGCTGATTAGTTTGCCCTCGATCACCACAGCAACGAGAGGAGGTGCCCCCAGGTCAAATCCACATCCCTGAGCTCTGTAGAGAAGCCCACCCAGAGGCACTGGCCTAACTCCCCAGGTGTCATTTTGGGCCATAACTCAGAGGCTGCTCAATGACCAGCTTCATCTGAGGTGCAGTAAGGTACCCCTTGACCTGGAACTGACAGATCTGTTCCTCAAGTCTCATCTCAGATCCTACTAACAATACGACCTGGGGCAAGCTGTTGAATCTTCCTGTGCTTCTGCTTTCCCATCTGAGAAATGGAAACAATATGTTCTGCTTCACAGTACTTTTAGGAGGGATCAAAAGAGACAGTACATAAGACTGGGGGATTATCATGATCACCACCATCATCTCTGTTCCTAGACTTTGGAAGCCACCCAGTGATGACCAGCAGATAGAGGCTCTTATACATCCCTGTGCACGTTAGCAATGTGGATGCCCATGTGCGTTTATTCCCTCCCTCCTGATGTGTCCCTGGGTGTCTGTGTGACTCCTGTCACAAATTTCTCAACAATGGAGAGTCTACAGACCAACACTTCTGTACCCACCCCGCCCCAACATCCACAACAGGTTTTGCCAGAAGCGAAAATTTTGAAGCCAGTCCCACTCTGTCCCAACTGCAATTGGCCTTCTTTGCTGACCCCCAGATGCCACAGGGCCCCCTACTCTGGCACACTCCAGCCCATTCCTCCTGGGAGGTGGCCTTTGTTCCAGACCTTTCCAATCATCGCCCTCCGTCAAAATGCACCTGACCTGTGATGCTTCTCCTCTCAGTGACTGTGTTCACATTTTTCAGGGTCGTTAAGCTTGTCTCAGCCTCTCAAAAGAATGTGTCTTTGGGATGATGGGGTCAAAACAATCTGGAGCTCCCTAGAAGTACATCTGTTAACCCCCTCTGCTTGAGCAGATCTGTCTTCAAGCACAGCCGTCACAGAGCAGCCTAAGGGTCTGAGCTCAGCCTCATTTGTATCTCAAATTACATCACTTACAAACAACAGTGTCCGCTCCACAGGGCCTTGGGTTTTGGAAAGGTACTTTATTGGCAATAGCCCTAAATTCCAGCACATTTTCGGCCACTTGGACTTTGACCGGCGCCCTTGGCTCTGTCCATGGTGCCGATGTCACACCAGGTCCTTTCATGGGGACCAAAACCGCCACAATAAGAGGACCTATAAACCTTGAGCCTGCTCAGTCTGTGGATTGGGGATGAAAAAGACACAACTTACCTAACCTTAACTAATACTTAGATAACCGTTCGTGTTTCCCCCTGTGATGTGGGCATCTGCTCCATCATCGGGAGACTGGGCAACAGTTACCCCTGGACACAGGGCACACTGTGTCCACCCAGCACTGACTCAGCACTTTGCGTTACATTTACCTGATCCTTTTTTGTATTTTAAAATGAAAAAAGAATAAAAACAATGATACAGAATTTCAAAGCAAAATAATAGGAGATTAAGAATGATAAAAAAAATCAGTCCACCCCCCAAGTTCAACGTCATTGGTCATTCAATAAAAGCAAATTAAAGCAACAATGAGATTCCATCTCAGTCCAGGAACAATGGATATGATCAAGAAATCAACCATAACAAATGCTGGAGGGGCTGTGGGGAAAAAGGAATCCTTCTCCACTCTTGGTGGGAGTGTAGACTGGTGCAATCAGTGTGGAAATCAGTGTGGGGTTTGCTCAAAACACTAAAATAAAAGGTTCCATTTAACCCAGCTCTTTTCCTTCTGGGTATTTTCCCAGAAGAATTAAAAATATCAAAAAACAGCAATAAATGTGCACCCATATTTACAGCAATTGTACACAATCTGTATCAGCTAAATCTTGAAAGCAATCCAAATGCCATCAACTGCAGAATAAATAAAAAAGATGTGGTATTTTTATACAGTGGAGTACCACACAGCTAGAAAGAGGATAAAATTGAGGCTTTTATAGGTTAAATAGATGCAACCTGAGACCATACTTATAAGTGAAATAAATCAGACTTGCATGTGTAAGCATTGTATTGTCTCCCTAGTGTAAAAATCTGAAAGAGTAAATAAGATTCAGAATGTACAATAGATACTGTGAGAGTGAGTAAGGAGACTGCTCAGAAGGAAAGGCCAACTAGGTTGGGGGAAAGGAGAAGGAAGAGAAATGTGTATGTATGTGTGTGTGTGTGTACGTGTGTGTACATATATGAATATATATATGATAGATAATTGTACTGCTAATCCCTGTTGGTCATCAACAAGAACAGTTTGTGCTTTCACTGTTTGATCATTTTTCATGTCTATGTCTTATGACGAGCATCTATGGACTTCTCATTTGCTCTCCCTGCTGAGGTACTGAAGGCCAGGAGCTGAGTCTTACTTCTGTGCATGCCCACACTCTGAGTAAATAAGAGACGCATGAACACATGAGTCCAGAATTTTCCATCCAGCCCCACCACCTCCCTGCCACTGCTTTTGTCCCGTCCCTGCCTGTCTCAGCCTGTCTGTGCCAAGCCCCTCATTGACCACCACTGAAGGCTCAGCTACAGCTTTTCCCATCATAAAATACACACAATTTTAACTTTCTGTTGGGGGCTCTCAAGGAAGGTTTTAGTTCATAAATAGTACAGGTTGTCTTATAGATGCAATCCCACCAAGTCTACTCCTGCCATTTCTCATCCAACTTGCCCTTCTCCCAATGCCTACAGCCCTGTCCACATCCTTCCCTTGAACACTCTGCCTTCACTGTCTGATTGGGCTAGCTGCTCCTAGAGAAATTCCAGGCAGCCTCTGCATCCCTCCCCCAAATGGAGTAGCGGTTTTTGAGAAGAACACTTACTGTCTTAAGGCCTTCTGTAACCCAGTGCCTTAGACTGAGAATTTTGCAAACAACAGAAGTCTGCAGCTCACAACTGTGGAGGCTGAGAGTCTAAGATCAAGGCACCAGGAAGCTGGCTGTCTAGTGAAGACTGTTCCTCCTGGATGGTGACCTGTGGCTTCTTTCCCACATCATGCACGTGACAAACAAAAAGAAGCCAACATGTTCCCTCTAGTCTTTTATAAGGGCACTTATGCGTTTACAATGGTGGGGCCCCCTTGATTTAATCACCTCGCAAATATCCCACCTCTGTACACTATGATTTTTGAGACTAAGTTTCAAGGGGAGGATAGATACAAACTATAGCAGAAGCCTGGGGTTATACTGACTTCTGTGCAGGAAGGGACACATCAGAAAGCAGGCCCAGGGCATTCGGAGCCTCCTTGAAGTCTCTGGCAGGCAGAGCCACTGCAATGTCCTGGTGTCACCTCCCTTCACCTCAGCAAGCTCCCCTCAGCCTCTTCACTCTGTCTCTGTGACTCCCTGCGGCTGCCGCCACCCCTCCTGCTCACATGGACCCAGGTCAGTTAAGTCTTCTGCTCTGACCGCCTCCACCAGTCTCTGGCTGCCAGCCCTTCCCCCTGCATTCGTCCCCTCATCTCTCCCTCTCATGCAAAATCCCTGTCTTGCTCCCAATGCAGAAGTGGAATTATCCGCAAGGATTTGAAAGGACAAGTGTTCCAGGAGCCAAATGGCACAAGGCTCTCTTCTCTTTCCTTTGAAAAATTCTTCGCCTGATCCAGCAGTCTTTCAATTAGGTGGATTAAACTGTAACAGAGCATTTTAGGGGAGGGGACACACTGCTTGGGAGAGATAGGAAGCTCCTCGGGAATGAGCTGATCACTCCAAAGGAGGCCATCCCTTCTCAGGAGACTGGGCCACTAGCCCACGTCAGAGTCTCATGTCACCTCTTATGTACAGCATTTATAGCTTGCAATGTCCTTTGCACCGGTTGTTCTTAACTACAAACTATCTATCACTGTGCCTGTTTCATCAAAAATAAAAATGAGGCTCAGAAAGTAGGTGACTCACCCTAAGTCACACAGGAGAGCCTTGGCTCCATGCTGGGCATTTAGGGTACTCCCCATCCATCTCAGCAGCCCTACTACATAGGACACAGAAGTCCCAGGGCCAGGGAGAGTGGCGTGTCCAAGAACAGACCTGTCCTCTGGCATGAAAAATGGGATTTGGACAGATAATTCTATGAGGCTTGAGAAAAGAAGACATTTTTTTCAATAGAATTCTCAAGCAGTGAAGCCCTGGGCTTTGCAGAGAGGGTGTACCCAGACTCTAGTAGAGGGTACAGTCATAGTTGGCTGAAAAGTGGCTCATGACCTGCGCAGTGCAGCTGGCCATGTTGTGGAGAGGAATCTTTCCAATGTGCTCTAACCAGATCTTCATCAATGAGATTTCTGCCCAGAGAAGTGTCCCATGGGAGCAGATGACTGAGACAATTAGGTCACCACACCGGTTCTTGGTTTCTTTACTCTGTCTTCCTACACTCTCTACCCTGCAGCTCCTGCACTGACTCCTTCTTGGGGGTGGGGAAGAAGCTGTACTTCCTACCCTGGTGCCCCCAGAGCGAGGTTAGAGGAGTTCTGCCAGTG